GGGGGGTATTTAGACATTGTTTCACGCTTTATCACTAATCATAATACAACTGCAGAATGGAAGGGGGGCTCCACTGGGTTCTCTCACAACTTGAAAAAAAATATATCTACAGCAGTAAGTAAAAAAATGAAATACACACACAAACACACATATACACACACACGCACGCACGCACGTACGTACGTGAGTGCATACGCATACACATACACAAACAAACACATACAGACAAAAACAAGCATATCATATTATAGTGTAATGGTATACATAAAACATTAGAGCACATTATAGTATCCAACATATCTATTGTTCACCCCAAAGGTACCTGGGCCCCGGCTAATCTCGTTTCATCTTGAATCTAGTATAGCTTTGTCTGTCCCAAGACACTGAAGACACTAGGCCTAACACTTTAAAGAAAGCAGCAAACTTACTATATTCTGTGTCCACAAAAAAATATTGCCATTGGTCCAAAGTCTTTTCATCTCATTTAGTTCCTGTTTTTACACGCTGGACATCACTGGTCAAAACGAGACATCTAAAAATAGATGATTATACATTCGTCGGTTTGTGCAACCTTCTCAACAACAAAAAGAAGCCCAGCCTTACCAATGACTAGGTTTTCACAGTCCATTCTCCGCTGTCCCTTGATTTGTGAATAATCTGTAATCAGGGCATAGCCTCCCCTTCTGACCAGATCTAAACCTTGCCTGGTTGACGTCACCTTTGGAGCAGACCGCGCCAAGACCCGTAACTTTTGGAAAATCTCCGTTTCTGCTCTCTTTAAAGATAAAAAAGCAAAACAAATGATGTGACAGAGTCCTTTCTGTTAATTTATTTCAGTTTTTATTGATTTGTCATTTAACAGTTAGGTTCTACTCTGTTAGACACAGAAAAGGTTTGATTTTAGCGTGTCCATCTTTCTCTTTCTCTTTTTGCAGGGTACTTCGACATGCTAAGGATCGAACCTTGGTAGAAGCAGCCCGCCTCCTTAAAGATCTAAATTCCGTCGATGGAAACGTTTACTTTCATACGATTGAAGAGTCACGCACCATTGATGGAATACATTTCCCAATATTTCTTTTCCTTTTTTATGGTAATGAATAGTTCGTGAGAGCGAACCAAAGTTTTACTTGGTATCATATTGGATTATAATGCTGATGAGCCTAGAATCAAGCCGTGCAATACGATGGCAGTACGTGACATGACACAAGTGTGTTAACCGGAGTCTGTCTTGTAGCGGTTACACTTTCACGCACAAGACATGAGTTCGGTTCCCGAGAGGAGAAGATTTTTTTTTAAAAATCGAATATCTTTATCTGTTTCCTAGGTTATTTAACTCCTCTCTGCCCGAGTTGGCCCTGACAAGCAGAACTGAAGCAGCGCTCTCCTCACCAACCTCAAGTGTATCAATTGTGGAGTCAGGCATCTACAACTAATGTGAACAATCACAGCGAGTGAGTAATCCTTGAATTATAATAGATAGCATTTGTATAGCGCAAATCCCCGCTCAACAGCAAGCTCTACGCGTTTCAAAATCTATACTATTACCCCAGCAGACCTGAGAGCATTCGGAAACAACCTCAACTTCCTGGGAAACATTCAGTGCAAGCAGCCGTTTATAGGTGTTAAAGCACCAGCATACTGACAAGATCTTTCGCTGTCTGTGGTCAGGCACCCATTCCCACCTGGGTGAAGTGAGGAAAATTAGTGTAAAGAGTCTTTCCCAAGCACACAACGTCGGGCCCGCGGTTCGAACCCCTGAACTCGCAACCTCACGATTACCAGTCTGGTAGCCTAACCACGAGGCCACCGACGTAACAATACTGAAAACTGAGCAAATCTATGTCACATCTAACTGAGCAAATCTATGTCACATCTAAACAAAACTTCAATTGTACTTCAGAATATCATAAATAGGATAAATAGCTCACCTCGATAACAGAGTACCAAGTAGTGCCTTGCTTGGCAATGGGTTTGATATCAGTTTGTTCAGCAAGGTCTGCAAGTGTCTCGATAGGCTGTCGGGCTCTGGAGAAAACAAACAAAACAAAAAAACCAATGCAGTTATCACCCGTTTTTCTCTTCTTAACAATAATATAGTAACACTTTACCCGCTCTTATTGGTATGTTGGGAAGGTAAAGAACTTTGAATATCGTATTATTGTTATCATTCTAACGTAATGGTTCTTTTCATAAAAGATTATTATTATAACAAATAATATATGTTGTTATTTCCGACAGCAAAGTACACGCGTGTGTAATAATACTCCACAAAGTGACAGCTCTTCCATTCTTCTTTGTAGCTCACAAAAACTGTGTCGTGGACAAATAGTTACCTGTTTACTGTCAGCGTGGCAGCAAGCTCGGCTGTGAAAGAAGCGGAGATGAGTATGGCGAACACCCACCAACAGCCCAATATCATCCGCCCAGATGTGTTGTACGGTAACCTGTTGGCACCTGCAAATCAAAAGACATGAAAGGTACATAATATGGGTGGTGTCTTCTGCATAATTTAGTGATTGAAAGCTCGGTGAACTTAGTCACCAGAAAATATCAAGCAATGGCAAGCGGAGTTAACAAAAACTTTAGATGGGTCATCATTGAAGTGTTTTACTTGAGAATGAAGATTATCAAATGAGTCAAATATTGTACTCAAACAAACAAACAAGCAAACATACAAATTAACAAACACACGAACAAACAAACAAACAAATTTACAAACAAACAAAATATCACTCACCCTGTTCCATGTAAGAAGACACAAAGACCCAAGCGCTGTCCCGCTTGCGATGAACACAGTGCTTGACGGAGTTCCCAAACCCTGAGGCCGGCCACCGGAACGGACTGAAGCGGTTGACGAGGACAAAGAGAGCAGCCATCAGAACTATCATGGCGTATATAGTGAGCCACACGGTTGCCTGGAAAGGCTTCATATTGCTGAGAGATAGAGAAACGTATTGGATTAATTTTTTAATTTCTGAAGACATCGGTAGAAAGGGATTAGACTGTAGAGAAGTAAATAAATGAGGTATTAAAGCTAATAGATTGTGAAAGAAAGCTCATTGCTCCCAGAAAAAAGCAATCATGGCTCAATGCACTCAATCTCCTGCCCCCTTTTTTGTACTACCTGCCCTCCCCCCCCCTTTCCTCCTCCTCCTCTCCCATCTCT